GAACCCCCCTCTAGTCTAAGTATTAGAATTCTATTTAGAGAGGAGAGTAAGTGCTTGTAAGGATTATCTCCTAAACCCGTGAAAAGGAGAAGATGGGTATAAAAGGTGATTGGCCTTCGTCTATTGAAGGAAAGCCTCTAGTGGACATCGGTGACCTCGTCGGAGGAGGAAACCGAAAGTGGATGTAGGTCATGTTGACCGAACCACTCTAAAACTGTTGTGTTCTCTAGTTTGCATTTTATTTTTGCCATTTACATACTGCAAACTACTTAGTCACTACGCTTCCATACGCTTTCAAGTTATTAAGCTTCCGAAATCAGTTTTCGTCGAAATTAGTTTTTATCGTATGAAAGTTTTTAAACCGATGTTATTTTACTACTACACTAATTCACCCCTCCCCCTCCTCTTAGTGCCGACTATTGATCCTAACACAAATCTTTGCAATAGAGCAAATATTCCATCGTACACCTCCAAGTAGAATAATTTGATGAGTTTAATTTAATCATATTGTTTGACTCTTCCATTTCAATCATACAAGAAAAAAACTAGCACCAAACTGTTAGGATCGGAGCGGCGCTAAGAGGGGGGGGGTGAATTAGTGCAGCTGCTTAAAACGTTGGTTTTGACAAATCTTTCGTACGATAAAAATCGGAATCGGAAGTGCTTAACTTGAAAGCCTATTCGCAAAGTTGTGCAGCAAATGTAATGAGGAAATAAAGCAAGTAAGAAGGTTTGCAGTAATGTAAATAGCAGTAATGAAATGCAAATCAGAGATTACGCCGTTTTTAAAGTGGTTCGGTCAACTGACCTACATCCACTTGCGAGGCCCCTCTTCAATGAGGCTCCCACCTTCCACTAGCAAAACTCTTGAAAGGGAAGGGTGAATACCCCTCTTACAACTTTTTACAAGCGGTTCACTCTCTTACAGATTTTCAGCAAGAAAGAAGGAGGTGAACACTAGCAAATTGAAAACAAGACTAGCTAAGACTTTTCTAAGGCCTTTCTCTCAAACAATTGCTGCTCAAAAAGTTGTTATCTCAGTTGAG